GAACACGAGATTTAGCTAACGGATCCTTTGTTTCTAACCTTACCTCTGATAGTATGCTGACGTCGTTTACAAACGATGGTTGCTATGGCGACAATTTAACTCCCTCAGTAACGCCCCTTTGACGGTTTAACGAAACACATTAGAATCGTACAATCCCAGAGCCATTTGAAGAGAGTAAAAAGGACTCTGGGAACGAGAATCATAAGAGTCCCAGGTATAAACAGAGGAGGCTTGAAATCGTTCCGAAAGGTTGGCGTCACTTTGATAAATTAAGCGCTTTTATAATTGTGAAATGTTCAGCAGGCAACCGTGGACGATACTCCTACTCTTGTACGTTGGATCAGCGATGATCTGATCGGCCCAAAATAACGAATATGAAATATAAATATAGAGGCAAGACCGATACAACGTAGATAAGTAAATTTTAAGACGGAGCACTATATTTCGGCTGGCCAAACCAGCCTTCTTCAGGTGCAGTGGGAATTAACAGAGAATTGGGGTGATGCTTCATAGATAGCTGTATGATGTAACAGCGGAAATATGTAAAACTAATTTGATTGACAATGAGATAACAATAAAAATAGAAATAGTGAGCAAAAATAGAAATGAAGTGAGGTAAATTGGATAAATAACTAGAAACTAATAAACCTAACTCTAAATGTAAACCTACTACAACGGCAGAACACTTCATTTCCTCTCCTAACCACTCTGCTCACGACATGGAGCTAATCGCTATCGAAAAAGTGTTTTCCAAGAGAGACTAGATACGCAAGGCCAGGGAAGCTTTTTTAATTTCAAGAGGCAACGCTATTTATCCAGATGGCCTTAACGCTCGCGAAGAAATGTATTAGTTTCTAGTTATTTATCCAATTTACCTTACTTCATTTCTATTTTTGCTCACTATTTCTATTTTTTTTGTTATCTCATTGTCAATCAAATTAGCTGCACCTGAGAAGGCTGGTTTGGCCAGCCGAAATATAGTGCTCCGTCTTAAAATTTACTTATCTACATTGTATCGGTCTTGCCTCTTTCTTTATATTTCATATAGTTTTTCATCGACAGATCATGAGACTTAGCTTAATTCTGCTTTAATTTACATTATCATCGAGTCTAATGTTGAAGAGTCCCCTCTACGATGATAGGTGATGGTTTTGTATTTTTACCATTTTCTAGAAAAAATCGACCCCAAGTCATCGTAGTCGCACCATCGACTCCATCATAGTGACAGCTGTGATCCCGGGAACCCTTGCGGGGTTATTCGTCATTCTTGTCTCGGTTCTGCTGTTGTTTCTTGCTCGTCGGATGGGTCATTTAGTGTAAGTATTTAGGATTAATGTCGGTATCTAAGCAACTGCACACTTACCCCTCCCCTAACTCACTCAACAACAATTAACTGATAACAAGTTAGGGTTAAGGTTGGGTTGAGGGATGGGTAGCTTCGCAGTTGCCCAGGTACTCACATTGACCCGAACTAACGCCAGATGAAATTAAATTATTGCTTAACAATCGAGAAACACTCGATTATGAATTTATGGTCACGAGATTTAGTTTTTGAGGGGGATACGAAGGGGAAATCATTCACCTCTGACAGAGTATAAAGGGAGGACTATAGAAAGTTGACCTCCAGTTAATCGCCGATGAGGGGGGTGGGGGTGGTGTGATCATAAGAATATTGTAGAGTTGTATGAGGGGATAGGGTAAATTGTATTGTGATACAATACGGTCATTTTCACATTCCCACACAGATCAACGATTTCCTCGGCCCATCGCGGAAAGAAGAAAGGTTTGAAAACACACAGTTTTATATTTAAGAGAATTTACAATGCTTTCCTGGCTCTGCATCTCATACAACAACAAAG